TTAACAGTGTTGTTAAATGAACGTCACCTGTGGTTAACAGTGTTGTTTGATGAACGTCTCATATGGTTAACAGTGTTGTTAAATGAACGTCTCCTGTGGTTAACATTGTTGTTAACTGAACGTCTCCTGTAGTTAACAGTGTTGTTAAATGAACGTCTCATGTGGTTAACAGTGTTGTTAAATGAACGTCTCATGTGGTTAACATTGGTGTTAAATGAATGTCTCCTGTGGTTAACAGTGTTCTTAAATGAACGTCTCATGTGGTTAACAGTGTTGTTAAATGAACGTTTCCGTTGGAAACATTGTTGTTAAATGAACGTCTCATGTGGTTAACATTGGTGTTAAATGAACGTCTCCTGTGGTTAACAGTGTTGTTAAATGAATGTCACCTGTGGTTAACAGTGTTGTTAAATGAACGTTTCCGTTGGAAACATTGTTGTTAAATGAACATCTCCTGTGGTTAACAGTGTTGTTAAATGAACGTCACCTGTGGTTAACAGTGTTGTTTGATGAACGTCTCATATGGTTAACAGTGTTGTTAAATGAACGTTTCCGTTGGAAACATTGTTGTTAAATGAACATCTCCTGTGGTTAACAGTGTTGTTAAATGAACGTCACCTGTGGTTAACAGTGTTGTTTGATGAACGTCTCATATGGTTAACAGTGTTGTTAAATGAACGTCTCCTGTGGTTAACATTGGTGTTAAATGAACGTCTCCTGTGGTTAACAGTGTTGTTAAACGAACCTCTCATGTAGTAAAAAGCGTTGTTAAACGAACGTCTCCTGTGGTTAACAGTGTTGTTAAATGAATGTCTCATATAGCTAACAGCGTTGTTAAATGAACGTCTCATGTGGTTAACCGTGCTGTTAAATGAACGTCTCCTGTGATTAACAGTGGTGTTAAATGAACGTCTCCTGTGTTTAACAGTGTTGTTTGATGAACGTCTCATATAGTTAACGGTGTTGTTAAATTAACGTCTCCGGTGATTGACAGTGGTGTTTGATGAACGTCTCATGTAGTTAACAATGGTGTTAAATGAACGTCTCATGTGGTTAACAGTGTTGTTAAATGAACGTCTCATGTGGTTAACATTGGTGTTAAATGAACGTCTCCTGTGTTTAACAGTGTTGTTAAATGAATGTCTCCTGTGGTTAACAGTGTTGTTAAATGAACGTCTCATGTGGTCAACAGTGTTGTTAAATGAACGTTTCCGTTGGAAACATTGTTGTTAAATGAACGTCTCATGTGGTTAACAGTGTTGTTAAATGAACGTCTCATGTGGTTAACAGTGTTGTTAAATGAACGTCTCATGTGGTTAACATTGGTGTTAAATGAACGTCTCCTGTGGTTAACAGTGTTGTTAAATGAATGTCTCCTGTGGTTAACAGCGTTGTTAAATGAACGTCTCATGTGGTTAACCGTGTTGTTAAATGAACGTCTCCTGTGATTAACAGTGGTGTTAAATGAACGTCTCCTGTGTTTAACAGTGTTGTTTGATGAACGTCTCATATAGTTAACGGTGTTGTTAAATTAACGTCTCCGGTGATTGACAGTGGTGTTTGATGAATGTCTCATATAGTTAACAATGGTGTTAAATGAACGTCTCCTGTGGTTAACAGTGTTGTTAAATGAACGTCTCATGTGGTTAACATTGTTGTTAAATGAACGTCTCATGTGGTTAACATTGGTGTTAAATGAACGTCTCCTGTGGTTAACAGTGTTGTTAAATGAACGTCTCCTGTGGTTAACAGTGTTGTTAAATGAATGTCTCCTGTGGTTAACAGTGTTGTTAAATGAACGTCTCCTGTGGTTAACAGTGTTGTTAAATGAACGTCACCTGTGGTTAACAGTGTTGTTAAATGAACGTCTCATGTGGTTAACAGTGTTGTTAAATGAACGTCACCTGTGGTTAACAGTGTTGTTAAATGAACGTCTCATGTGGTTAACAGTGTTGTTAAATGAACGTCACCTGTGGTTAACAGTGTTGTTTGATGAACGTCTCATGTGGTTAACAGTGTTGTTAAATGAACGTCTGCTGTGGTTAACAGTGTTGTTAAATGAACGTCTCATGTGGTTAACAGTGTTGTTAAATGAACGTCTCCTGTGGTTAACAGTGATGTTAAATGAACGTCTCCTGTGGTTAACAGTGTTGTTAATGAACGTCTCCTGTGGCTAACAGTGTTGTTAAATGAACGTCTCCTGTGATTAACAGTGGAGTTAAATGAACGTCTCTTGTGGTTAACACTGTTGTTTGATGAATGTCTCCTGTGGTTAACAGTGTTGTTAAATGAACGTCTCCTGTGGTTGACATTGGTGTTAAATGAATGTCACCTGTGGTTAACAGTGTTGTTAAATGAACGTTTCCGTTGGAAACATTGTTGTTAAATGAACGTCTCATGTGGTTAACATTGGTGTTAAATGAACGTCTCCTGTGGTTAACAGTGTTGTTTGATGAACGTCTCATGTGGTTAACAGTGTTGTTAAATGAACGTCTCCTGTGGTTAACAGTGATGTTAAATGAACGTCTCATGTAGTTAACAATGTTGTTAAATGAACGTCTCCTGTGGCTAACAGTGTTGTTAAATGAACGTCTCCTGTGATTAACAGTGTTGTTAAATGAACGTCTCATGTGGTTAACAGTGTTGTTAAATGAACGTCTCCTGTGATTAACAGTGTTGTTAAATGAATGTCTCCTGCGGTTAACAGTGTTGTTAGATAAACGTCTCCTGTGGTGTACAGTGTTGTTTGATAAACGTCTCCTATGATTAACAGAGGTATTTGGTGAACTTTTTAGCTCTTCGAACTATGATGTGTGAGATGTGCTTTATTTTAAGGTTTTCTCCAACGAACGCTAAGAAAGTTGCAAAAGGAAATTACTCTAACCTTTACCTTGTTCACTTGGATCAAATTTATCAAAAAAATTTCATCGAATTTTTTCAGTAATCAAAAGGCATGGACTTACGTACTTGAAACATTTCTAGAATGCCAAGAAGGTTTGCGAAAATAAAATCTTAACCACAAGCGTCTAATTTGTTGAAAGCTTCAATCATTTTTTCTCCACAACCTAAAGGTATAGAATTATGAAGTTTGACTGAAAGGTTTCAAACATGAAGCCCAACAAAGTCTGCGAAAAAATTACCTTGATTCATATGAAGCCACAGGGGCCAAATTCGTTAAAACTTTTAAAGGCACTAAATGGTTAAATTTCGTTATTTTTTCGGATACGTTTGATTTCGGGCAGGCATTGTAATACTTGAAATTAGACTCTTCACAGAATTAAAACACTCTCTAAGAGAAATTGATAAAGATTATCAGCTTCAAATTATCGCTAGTCGACACTCACTGTGTGTCAACCACTCATCCCTGTTTTGATCGTAGACAGCCGAGTTCGTCACGTGACCTTTCGGAGCCTCGTTTTAACCCGCCGTTTTGATATGATTTCTTACTATGTATTATCATTATGCAATCCTATTATGCAGTCAACCAAAACTTAATTTGCCGACCATGTTTTATGTTGTAAAATAATCTCTTGTTTTACGCTATACGCGTGACAAAGCGAATTAAATTAGTTTGGATTAATATAAATCTAAAATTGCATGCGCAAAGACATTGTTGACACTCTCCAAACGATCATGATAAGAATTAGTGTTGAATCGCTCCTATCTTATTCTAATTTTTTGACGTTGTTAATGAAATGGTTGTGCAAGCTTTAACTGTTATAATCAACAGAAAGTACACAATATTTAACATATTTAAATGTTATAACGTTTTTTTTATCAATTATGTAATTAAAATTTAACCATTTAGTCCATTTCAACGATTTGTTTCCGATAAATAAAATACCTAGACTCATGATATCTGGAGGGAAAATTCCAAGAACGAAAGCCAGCAAAGTTTGGAGTAAATGACCTTGACCCTAACTGAAGTCACAGGGATCAAATTTGTTTAAACATTTAAACGACTACTTCTGGTCAACCAAAAGTTCATACAATCATGATATTTTGCTGATAGGTTTCAGGATGAAGTCCAACATGACATTGACTTTTATTCAAGGTCACAGTGGTCAGATTTGTTTAAACCTTTATTCGACTTCTTTTTATCAACTAAAAGTCATTGGATCTCGATATCTCGCTCGTATGTTCCTTGGATGAACCTCGCCAATTTCACTAAAAGATTTGACCTTGACACCTATTCACGGTCACAAAGGTCACAATTTGAAAAACTTCCAAATTCCTTTTTACAACCATCAAGTTGTAGAATCATGAACTTTGGTTAATAGGTTGCTCAGATGAAACCTTAACAAAACTTACGGAAACAATTTACCTTAACCTATTGACAGTCAAAAAAATCGTTTTGTTTTAAAACTTCCAAACAAATCCTTCTCGATATCTTCAAATTCAAAAAAGCAATAATTAAAATCATTGGGCAGGTAGGTGGGAAAATCATTGAATACCAGATGAATGATGCAGGTCCTTTGAGCCTTTTGTTATTATTGCGTATTTTAAAAGATACGGCTTCTTTGGTCGAGATAATGTTTGTAAATCCTCCAAATTTTGTAAATTCTCTCAATGTTTTCGTTGCTTCATGGAAATTAGAACTGACATTTTAAACTGATATTAATTCTAATCGCCTGTTTGTAGTTATGTATTAATATATTCATGCCTTTCTTGATGTTACACTGTATATAAAAAAAATTGTGTTTTTAAAGTGGGGTTATTTTGTATTTTAGGAGTAACATCAAACAGTCACATCTTGGGATTCCAGGCCAGGACGTGTGTTTTGGTGGAAATTACACCTTTGGAATGTGCTTGTTGTTCTTGTGGATGAACTATATTCGCTATCTAAATCTACTGCTTATAAAATCTGTTTACATGTATCGAGGCTTATAGTGAGTACTTCCTGTATAAACAACACGATGAACATGTAAAGATTAAAAAAAAAACACATTAGTGTATTCGAAATGGATGAGAATAACTCAACTTTATTACGTCATCTCGTGATTATGTACATACGGGTAATTATCTTCTTGATTGTACTTAACCTTGTTCTAAGTGTAAATATAACGAAAGATGACATCATAAATCTGAATACTGTAAAATACGTACAGGGATTTCGTCTGCGGACTGGAGTATTCCGTGTTTATGAAAACACGTCCTATACATCATGTGTGAGAGAATGTCTGCGGCGTCGACAGTGCGTGGCGATCTCGTATCATCTTGTCAATTTTTACTGCCACCTCGGGAGCCAGACATCAGACATAGAAAATGTCGGTGATAATAAAATTATCTCTAGTCATCCGACAGACTGGAATCCACCAAAGGTAAATATTACGTAATGTTTAACATTGTGATTTTCCCCGAGTCGCTGTATCAACTGTATGATGCCGTTTAATTCATTCTTTTGCTATATCGAATTCTGAACTTGTATCAAAATGGTCTTTTCTACAGTCTTTGAGAAGTTTATCCCGTTATCTGATGGAATGGCTGGTATTGTGAAATGCTGAGTACATTAAGTCTGATGATATACGTTGTGAAGAGATTGCCAAAGTATTTTTTTCCAGTAGAAAGAGTTGTGAGGTTTGTTTGAAAACATTTTTTATTACTGTAGGACTTAATGTTTGAAAAAGGCTTATACCTCATTTTATTTGACGTTAATGTTTGTTTATGAAATTATTTCACATTTTTTTGCAGTACATACAAAAATGCAATGTATATCTTATAGTTGTACATCTCCGTGTGAAATATATTTTACCCCAATGACGGTACGAATTTTTTTTTCGCATTAATACCAATTATTCACAGTAAATGTAACTTGACTTTAGATTACCATGGAGTCTTGATGATGTTGATAGCACAATGAAGTCAGTATGAACTTTATCGATCCTACATGATACAAACGATTCCCAGCTACCGTTTTCCAACGTTGATAACTACTTATTTAATAGAGCAAAAAGCTTCGTTCACGTCACACCTAGAATAAACCAATCACAATAAGTCCAACACATAAACGAACGTTACCAGTCCCGGTGTAAAGCTAGCTACGGACCATTTAAGTTTTTTAGTGTCATTGTGAATAATTTACTGACATTGTGCTGTCAACCATGTTTATTCGTTGTAAAAATTGTAATTACAATTACCGGTTCGTCATAATGGGTATTCCTAGCTTTATCGTGCTATGAAATTGTGGAGACACCTGCATATAAATGAATGGCAACAACGCAACATACGGAACTGTGGATACAACGAAAGGATAGGGAATGACAGTATTTAGTGTGGATACAACGAAAGGATAGGGAAGGACAGGATTTAGTGAGGATACAACGAAAGGATAGGGAAGGACAGGATTTAGTGAGGATACAACGAAAGGATAGGGAAGGACAGGATTTAGTGAGGATACAACGAAAGGATAGGGAATGACAGGATTTAGTGAGGATACAACGAAAGGATAGGGAAGGACAGGATTTAGTGAGGATACAACGAAAGGATAGGGAAGGACAGGATTTAGTGAGGATACAACGAAAGGATAGGGTATGACAGGATCTAGTTAGGATACAAAGAAAGGATATGGAATGACAGGATCTAGTTAGGATACAAAGAAAGGATAGGGAATGACAGGATCTAGTTAGGATACAAAGAAAGGATATGGAATGACAGTGTTTAGTGAAGAAGCAACACAAGAATAGGAAATGACAACATAAACTGAGTGACACGAAAATAGAAGGAAATGACAACATGAATTTAAGAGACACGAAAAGAAAATTAAATCAAACATCAACATAGAATGACGAGACTCACAAACAAAGGAAAGAGAACGAGTGAGACGAAAATCAAGAGAGAAAACAGAAAGACAACAATCGGACATGAAAAGTTAAGAAAACAAAGAGATGGCAGGAAAATAGCTGATGAGCCAGTGACAGGAAAGAAACGTCCACAACAGAAATTGATTTGTCAACAGGAAGAAAAAACAACATATATGTGGAACCAATAAAACAATAGAATAAAAGAAACATTTATATCAAACTACAGACACGATTAAAGCATTTTTATAAAGTAAAACTTTGTAAAAGAGCAGAAACATGTCCAGATAATTTCATTTCCCTTCAGTCAATAAATATCCGAAAATGGTCTGTCCGAAATCAAGCTTGTTTATAAATACACACTTTAACATGCGGCTTATTAGCACATGAGAGAGGATTATAAAACTTATGCTAGCAAAATTCTGAGTGAAAAAACACTGATGTTCATTGAAATATTGTACACGTGAGTCTGTGAATAAAAAAATGCTTTCCTTTAGAAGGACACCTCAGGATCTCCTCGTTAAGTTGATACTTAGGCCGTCCGCACAATCGGAGCCAAGATTTGCACTTCTCATGCTTCGTCTGAGATTTGGGAAAAGGTATGAACACAACACCTCTCTCTAATCGCTCTGCGTAACGAAATCGGTGTTGCAAGTTCCCCGGCAGCAACGTTTCACCATTGTCGGAGAATGTCGGAGTAGCGAAACGTAAACAAAGAGGCGAATACTACCCGCGATCTGATTGGCTAAACCGCGCTGTCAATCAAAAGCTGTCGATCGGCCAATTATAAAAGCGACGGATTGAAATTGATTAAAATTGGCCAAGTTAAGTATCAAACCCCAGATGTGGAGTTACATTAAGCCCATGAAAAACATACTGATAAGTTTTGTTCTATTGACGCAATACATGTCCCATAGCGGCCCAGAAGCATCGTACTGATTTATAAATAATTTAAAAAAGTAACAGTGACCTTGACCCCACAACCCTGAAACTCGAACTTTTTTTTATTATTTGATGCATGATATGTGTGTCAAGTTTAATGACTCTCCCTACAGGAATGAAGCGGATTGGCAGCTGATAAATTTTCACAGAACATTGATTTCTTTGTCCATTTTCTGTCTATATGAATCAATGAAGCATGGCGAATAAATGTAATTTGAGAATTTGTTCAGTGGCATGGATCGTTGCTGAGCCTTTGTTACATTTAAAGTACGTGTATATCGCATTAACGAATATATCGTATATAAAAACAGTGTGTGTGTCCTTTAAAATGACAAACAAAGCATATATTTGTAGGTAAAGTTTGTGGTACTGGTGTATTAAGTACAGATTCTGAAATTAATTACTCATTTATTTTTCTATTTGTTATGAACTGAAGTGCGTAACGAACTCCAGTCAACCATACACGTTAAATGTTTGTCTTCCTTAGTAATAAAGTTTATACAAAGTGTAAACCTGAACTAATCTGTAGGCAGAATAACAGCCAAGAAAAAAAAATAAACGTGCTTTAAGGGGAAAACATGTGTATATGTCACTTTATTTGATATTAGCATTTTATTGGAAACGATTTTTTTTCTTTTCTATTTTGTAAATTATTTTCATACAAGTTATATAGCGCTTTATTTGATGGCTTCTTACTTAAGATGGAGAAATTATTTCCGACAATAAAATAAAGGAAAAAAGTTACCCTTAGATTTTTTTTCTTTTATCACAACATTTTTTTCTTGTTTGTGTTTTAGAGCATCGTGGGAAATTGTTCAGAAATGCCTTGTGCTATCGGACAGCGATGTACTGAATTGTCCTCTGGCAAAGTCGTATGCGTTAATACAGGTATTTACGATACATAATGTTAATGTGGGTAAACTATGAATAGTACAACTTAAACATTCGACAACATAATAAGAGTATATAGTATACGAGTTCTATGGCATATTGAGGTTATTGAACTAGTTCAACCTGGTGATTTTTTTTATCGTAATCTCTCCGTCCCGGCCCTTGGTAGAGACGAGGATTCTTTGACTGGATTTGTGTTTCACCAGACCTGAATATGTTTATCCTTGGGGTAAAAAGAGGGGATTCCACTTTCAATCTAAGACGAAATTGAATTTCTTATTTAATGTCACATCAGGGACGTTATAATACAGATAATATGTATTATACGTCTCTGGTCACATTTAAGTTTTGTGTTTACAGAATGTCCAGATCCGCCGGAAATGACGTCATCAACCACGTCAAGTTTAAGAACAGTCGGTATTACAATTAGTTACGAATACGTTGCAGACGCATCAAATCCAGCCATCGTATCCGGAAATCCAAATATCACGTGCAAGACTGATAACACGTGGACATATTCGGACTACACTGTCAAACGTTAGTACAGTTTTTATTACAATGCTACAAATCGAATTTAACAATGCTAACTTGCGACAAATGTTGTACATCGGTGTTGGCTAATGAATTATTAGTGAGTGTAAGTGTTATCTAATTAAATGAATTTATGCATGCAATGAATCAATCATAGTTGACTAACTAGTTGTTTGGGCTCCTCGTCTGTAAATCCTTTCTTCTATCTTTTTTTCGAATCGTGCGTGAGAGTTTGAAATAAAAATGATATATGTGTTTAATTTGTAACTTAAAACTATAATGTGGTCTCTTCCATCCATATTTCTATACATTTAGTTTGTGGTGTACTGATTATACATGCAAGCCCTACTGATTCCTACAGGCAGCAACTGAATATATTTTCCAATAAAATCAATAAAGCACGCGCGATTTAGAGCAAAACGCAATAATACAGCCTACACATAATGCCACGAGAAAACACAGCTCTACGAATAGATTCGAAAACAAAAACATACACGAGAAGGTCATTGTAGGATTTCTCGGTACACAAAGTTTTCAGTAAAGATGAGAAATTTGTGTTAATAATAATATTTACGCAGCAAATGAAACATTTAGATGACAGGTTTGTATTACAAATGGCGGCGGTATATATATGCCAGTTTCCCCTGAAATCTACACAGTTTGGCAATATATCCGTAGGGGAAATGGCATTTACACATATTCTTCCATAACCATGTTTACAAGCGCATGTGTCTCCGTCCTTTCGCATCTCAAGGTATACAGCCTTCCTGATACAAAACATGAGTGACGTCATGTGGGAAACGCGATAAAAAAATATAAATTTCCTACCGTGCTGATATAGGAACCAGGTAGCCATGAGAAATCCATGCTTTTTCCCGGTATGGGATTTCCTTGTCTCATCCTAGGCTACAGAAAGCTATACGTGTTCTTTGCAAGTTCTGAAAACGATTTAAGGATGTACTCTTTTGAGAAGAAAAAAAAGAAGCCCAGTATTAAACTTTTCTTCCAATTTTTTTTTGATGAAGCTAGATCTTAGAAAGAAGATTGAAAGCAAAAAATCAATATGTTGCTGCACTACTTTTTCCAGTACAGCCGCCAGAATATGCATAACAGGAAATAATTCATTTTCACATAAAGTTTTTATGTTTTCTGAATAACAGACATTACCTGTTATTTTCGCGGCAGCCGTCTTTAAATAAATTTTTGTCTTTTATTTTTAAGATCACGGTAAAATAATGGTATAAGCAAATGAAAATTTCGACATAAAGAAAAATACATTGAAAAATGCTTAGTTTTCATTTGCTTTAACGAGCTTTAACGATCTACTTTAGACTTCCAGAGTAATACTCAAGAGAAGTTCTTAAGAAACCAGAAAACGTTGAAATGTTTTACGCTGTTAACCGAATCACGCCGGCAAGTACGCCGTCAAAAAAAAGTAGTCAACAAGCGAAATTTCTTCATAACGTCATAAAAAATCGCCTTTTTAAGTTTATAAACACAGCTTTAGATAACAAAGTGTATAAGACTACCAAAGCCCAAGATATTATGTTGGAATTCATTTCATATTGAGTTATGGTTTACTTCCGGTCAAAACATCGAAAGAGGAACTACTTTTATGAGGTCACACACATACATTAGTTTGTCTACTACTGACATCATGCGTTATCCTCAAAACTGAAAATCCTCATCAAGATTGAAACTCAATTTAATCTTTTCAAATATATAGATTAAATAACAAAATTATAATTTTATTTGAAGTTGTATTGGCATGTGCATTAGAACTATATTTTGTGTAAGATTAAATCACAATGCATTAAGCGTGTGACACCATGCATATGTTTTTGTTTACACCCAATACACTTTGTATTGCACTCGGACCACCAAAAAAGGGTAAGAGAAAAGAGAAAAAAAATAATTCCCTTTAGGGTAAGATAGAGTCGCACAGGCACCATCGTCACTCATGTCTACTCTGGTGCGATTCGAATTCTACACCGTTTCACTACTACTGGCAATATCCTTCCGCCTAATGTTTGGGGGAAAATTCTGACGTGAAAATGTTTGTACTAAATATTGTTTTATAAACACAATTCACAATTTTAATGGAAATAGATATTAAAAAAGAGATTCCGATTATATCCTAAGTGTTTGTTAAGAAAAAATAACATTTATATAACAATTTCGTATTTCGGAACTCTTTTGTTTACATATTACTTCATAACTATTTTTGCATTGTCTAGAAGACTTGACATCAAATAGCGGCTGTTTTAAAATGCTACCAAAACCAAACATAAAATCTTTAATTTGATTTCTTGAGTACTCTAACTTCTGACTAAACAAAACATTAAAACTTGAAACATAGGTATTAAATTGTTTTTATCAAAGGATAAAGTACAGTGTAGTCCGCATTTAATATTTTTGTCCATTGACCCAGAATCCAAATATTGATAAAAAAATGTTATTCAAATATAATAATCTTTTCGTTGTTTTTACGCAATATCACGTTTCAGATTAGTCTTTTTTCGCTATTATTCAATAATGTGAACAAAACCGGACTAAAACATCATAAACTATTTCAATATCTTACAATGTACACAAAGATTAAACAATGAATAATTGTAAAATAGTATTACGATCAGCGTGGAGTACTAGCCAAGTTGCTATTCTATCACTCACCCCTATCACAAATATTTACTACTTACAATCTAACGCCACTCTTACCGACTAACGATGTGTGTGAGTTTTGGTTTTTAAACGTATCAAAGTAACCATAGGCTTTGATAAGAATATTTCTTACTTTCTGGCTGGAATGAAAGAAAAGTCGACTTGCAAACCTATCGTGCGAATCGGTTTTTCGTTCTTTAAGTTAAGATCAATGTAAGACAAAAAAAATAACATTAATCCTAAAAGTAATACAGTTTTTTTAATAAACAGTTACATATCAAACCTGTTTGTATATTTTTAGGGATATCACGCATATGGTAGATCAAAGGATATCGTAATATGTATGTCTGTAACACCGGTAATTTAACCTGAAACTAATATGGCTGTAATTGTTGTGATTGGTATTAACCAAATTATCGTAATTATCACTAATTTATATAAATAAATGTTTTGTGATTGTTTTTTTTTTTTATATTCTGATCATGTGTTTATGTGTTATGTTTTTAAAGACGTGTGACACTTAGACAAAAAATATATCATTATTTCATTTATATATTTCCCAGTGTGTCCGTCAGACTTCCAAGTTGTTGCCGGAACCTATTGTGTCCTGATTGTTACGGACCAAAGACTGGCCCCTGCCAAAGGTGATGAGTACTGTCAGACAAAAGGAGGCCGACTCATTTGGATGACCAGTGTTGATAAATTTGACGCAGTCGTGGCCGTTATTGGTGTGTAGCTTATTTTTTATTGCTATATCAATATTGATTCATTAGTATATGTCATTGATTTATCATTATTACTACTTATCGAGTATTCAGCACGGAGACCGTTCCGGAACCACGGAACAGAGACAATAAATCAAATCTGAACGAAAGGAAAATAATCTGAGGAAGAAATTAAATCTAAAATATGCTGTGTGCACATAGTTTCATACGTCTCTGTTTCCCACAACTGTCGGCTTGTGATCGTCTCTAGATCTTGGTGTGGGCGGGGACCTCTATTTGATGACAAGAGACACATTCGAATAGGGAACACAGTACGGTATAAAACACGTTAGACCTAGTACGGTATAAAACACGTTAGACCTAGTACGGTATAAAATAGGTTAGACCTAGTACGGTATAAAACACGTTAGACCTAGTACGGTATAAAATAGGTTAGACCTAGTACGGTATAAAATAGGTTAGACCTAGTACGGTATAAAACACGTTAGACCCAGTACAGTATAAAACAGGTTAGACCTAGTACGGTATAAAACACGTTAGACCTAGTACGGTATAAAACAGGTTAGACCTAGTAAGGTATAAAACAGGTTAGACCTAGTACGGTATAAAACAGGTTATACCTAGTACGGTATAAAACAGGTTAGACCTAGTACGATATAAAACACGTTAGACCTAGTACGGTATAAAACATGTTAGATCTAGTACGGTATAAAATAGGTTAGACCTAGTACGGTATCAAACAGGTTAGACCTAGTACGATATAAAACACGTTAGACCTAGTACGGTATAAAACATGTTAGATCTAGTACGGTATAAAATAGGTTAGACCTAGTACGGTATAAAACAGGTTAGACCTAGTATGGTATAAAACAGGTTAGACCTAGTACGATATAAAACGCGTTAGACCTAGTACGGTATAAAACAAGTTAGACCTAGTACGGTATAAAACATGTTAGATCTAGTACGGTATAAAATAGGTTAGACCTAGTACGGTATAAAACAGGTTAGACATAGTATGGTATAAAACATGTTAGACCTAGTACGGTATAAAACAGGTTAGACCTAGTACGATATAAAACACGTTAGACCTAGTACGGTATTAAACAGGTTAGACCTAGTACGGTATAAAACATGTTAGACCTAGTACGGTATTAAACAGGTTAGACCTCGTACGGTATAAAACATGTTAGACCTAGTACGTTATAAAACAGGTTAGATCTAGTACGGTATAAAACACGCTAGACCTAGTAAGGTATAAAACAGGTTAGATCTAGTACGGTATAAAACACGTTAGAACTAATACAGTGTAAAACAGATTCTACGTCGGCAGTTCTGCAAAATGATGTGAGACCACTCCTCGACAAAAGGTATTATTGTAATGAAATCTTTATAACATGCCTTCAATTTTATTTCATCAGCGCTGAAATGTACTACACTTGCCATGTGTTGTTTACGACATTAAAACTGTAAACTTCATCTATTTTGCGACTATTATGAAACAAGGTATGTTACAAGATGTAATGATTCTGGACTACCCGGTTGGAAGGAGCGTGTGTCAATGTTGTAAAATGTGCTTTGGTAAAAGTTTTTTTTGTTTAGTCTTGACATAAATAAACACAAATAAAACTGGAATCACTGTTGTCGACAAGAAATAATAATTTCCATATATTGCAGACACAGGAAGATATTTTTTGGCGGGATCGGACGCGGATGTTGAAGGTACGTGGAAACTGCCAGACGGGGAGCCAATGACGTGGGTACACAGCCGCGCAGAAACTATCGACACCGACAATGAAGATTGTCTAACCTACGACCACAGCTATAAGAAACTGAGAGATTTTGTCTGTACCGGCGCCAAATTATTCATATGTGAAATTGCATAGAGCCAACGATCTCTTATGAAGTTCGTATGAGGTCAGAAAACGATGACTTTTTACAATGGAATTTTTTATTTCACCTGTACACGGTATGTACCGGGTGATCGCCGGAATGTCCCCAAAAAAGGTCAGGGAAGACAAGAATTTCTTTTCATCACAACGCCTTTGCCTTTGACAATTATTTTTATTATATATCTATTTCTGACACTGTGATCAATACCTTCATAAAAGTATTTGAGTGAATTGTTGTAAATAAAAGGAATCACAATTTGTAGATATGTCGTGTGATTAAGAAAATCCCACATCTCAGTCTTGTCTCTTTTCTTTTAAAATTCAGTACGTTACCGAGTCTGATGTACACGGGAACAAAGATATAATTTATAAAGAATGTTTACGTGTAAGTATAGAAAAACTAGCCAATGGTCATTACAAACCATGGCAATTGGTGTTTCTCGTTTGAAATCAAGATGTCCGTTAATAGATTGTACTACATAATGTAATACGGAAATATGTATACACATTACACGTGATTTTATGTGTGTTTGAATAATTCTTGGACGTCAGTTTCATTGACGCAGACTCATGCCGGCCAAGATCAAGAAAATTATCGATTAAATTTCCTTGCATCTCTTCAACTTCAACATTATATATATACTAATATGTCTTAAATATAAGCCTTACAGCAAGAGTTTATATCTTGATGTTGATCCAGTATTTGTTTATATTTGAATAGAGTTTGGTATTGTCCATGAACAAATTTATGCAACACTCTATAAGATCTGGAGTAATACAAGAAGTTACAAGAAAAATAGAAAAATATTATGGTAACAGAAGAAAGATAAATAATAAAATGTCCTCAATAAACAAAGACACAACTACGACACTAACCTACATACAGAAAGTTTTGTGGCACTGAGTGAAATCGTTTCGAAGTTGTAGACGGGAAAGGAAAGTTGTCCTTTTGGTGTCCATTGCTGTGGAACAAGACACGTTCAGAACAACTTGCAGTATGCTGATTGGGGTCAAGGGCACACTGAACTTTCTATCAGAAAAGTTAATACCATCGCCGTACATATCGCAGAACATCTTTAATACAAACCCAATTTTCTGACAAATTCTTTCATTGCAAACAAAACAAAAAACAAAACAAACAAAAGCAAAACTGTATGGATGAAATGTTTAATCCTTCAAACTAAATGCGTATGTTTTTACAAAGAATGTATTTGACTGAAAAACACTGTCTCAGGTGAAAATTCATTGTTTCCGTCATACATTTAATCTCATTGTGTCGGGTAGCGCTCAACCTTTTTAATCATTAAAAAAAAGGAAACAGAAACTAAATTTGTCGGTATGACATGAACACCCTCGCTGGCACCAGTGAGAACATGGGGTCTTTAAAGTGCTATTGTTTTTAAGGGGTGTGTCCATTTTATAATACATATACATAAGGCATTCGTTTATTAGGTCGCTTAGGTCCCATAAAACAATGCCAATCAAAGTTCTAAAACTTCCTATTTCAGTACCGAGAAAAACGTAAACTGAGATATAAACTCTAAAGGCCATACCGTAGAACACAATGCTTTTGAAGCAGTTTGACCAAAGGACCTGTGTCGCTCATCTAGTACTCAATGCTTTTCATAAACACCATTTTTTCACATAATTGATATTTAAAGCCTAGGTCAATAAGAAGTCCTTTGAAGTTTGAAACAAACACCGACACTTGTAACCTTATATACAATTCAATGTGTTTTCCACTGGGCTTCTAGAACTACCAAATATCATGAATTCAGGCATTTAGTTAAATCATCAGAAGTTGTTTGAATTTTTAAAAAAAATCATAAGAAGACTTTGGTTATGTGTCAAGTCCATTTTTTTGCAACTACTGATTGGCTTCATTCAAGAAATTTTCTTGCAAAATGTGATCGTAGGCCTTTTGATTATAGAGAAGAGTTTGCTTGAAGGGTTAAACAAATTTGACCATTAATATGGGTCAAGCTTATTTCCTTTCGCAAACTTTTTTGTGCTTCATGGCATAAACTTACATGTCAAATATAATAATTCTATGACTTTCGTTTTACAAGAAAACGCTGGGTCAGGTGAGCTGAAAAATGACCAAAACCATAAGTGATTTTTTTTTAATCCGACCGAAACCAAATATACGACCTGAGCTGAGTTTTCACTTTATACAGAAACGTATCAAGTGTCAGATCAATTTCTGCATCTATTAAAGATCATTGTGTCAAAACTAAACAAATTCTGACAGAACGACGGCAACGGGCCATGTTAAGCAGATATGTTAGTTGGCATCGCGCTGCTTTCAATTGTCTTTCATATTGTCTATAAATGCCAATAAAATCCAGCGCGATGCTTATATTTTTCATTTTCCATATCCATACTATTATGAGAAGAGATTATCTTATTGTTTCTTTATAATTACCCGCAGTATTCCTACACCGCTGGCAGTTCATGGCCTGGTAATTCACCATTGACAAAAATCCCATACAATGGTAAATATATGAAAATGTTTTAAACATATGCACAAAACGAGTGCAATACATATAACTACAGAAGCATTAGACAGTGACAATCAAGGGTTATACAGAGTATTGTTCCTAGTAACACAAAACCGTTTTACATAGCACACCAGTATTATACATTGAAACACAAGTGTTGTACATAGTAACACAAGTGTTGTACTGTACATAGTAACAAAGGTGTTGAAAATAGTAACATACTAGTGTTAGTAATATAACATAACACTAGGGTTATAGCACAAGTGTTGTGTTTAGTAACACTCAAGTATTGTACATAGTGAAATACAAGTGGTTTACACAGTAACACACAATTATTTTACACAGTAACACACAATTATTACACCTGGTAACGTAATTGTATTGTTCATAGTAACACATGTATTGCACATAGTTAAACAAATTTGGACATAGTGACACACGAGTTTTGTACTTACTAACTCACAAGCATTGGGCACAATAACATACAAATATTGTACATACATTTGTAGTAACACACAAATAGTTTACATACATTTGTAGTAACACACAAATATCGTACATACATTTGTAGTAACACACAAATATTGTACATACATTTGTAGTAACACACAAATAAAGTAAAAAAAAAAAAAAAGATTGTATATAGTTACACATTGTACATTGTAGCACTCAAGTGTTTTGCATAGTTACACAACAAAAAATTATTATACATAGCAACAGACATATTGTGCATAGCTTTATTAAGGCTGATGTGGGTCCTGACTGATTGGTGTTACTGTAAAGTGACCCCTGAATGAAAATAGAAATGAATAAAGAACTATTATCCAAAATTAAAAATGTTGAAAACCGCATCAAAATCGGCCGGTCCAATACCGAGATATTCACTTTTCTTACTACTAATCAGCCCAAGGCCGACTCGCGGCTGTGACGTCACAACTTCAACGACTGGTAGCCGTCGCCATGGAAGGAAATGGTGAGATCGAGAACAGCTTTGTTATGTAATATCAGATTGTGCATGACGGTTGCCAGAATTTGCCAGACATCGATTTAAAATAACTAATTTAAATACAGAAGGATTAGATCGATAGCAAGGTTTGACATATACAAACCTTGTATCATAATACAAAGGACATGTTAGAATGAAACGATTACTCGTCCTCAATCATTATCACATAACAGTGTAATTATGAAGTGTGCTAGGAATATTCCTTTGTCCTGTTCTAAGCACACTTGTGTCACGTGCTGTCTCGGCAAGAGGCCAAATAAACACCTTTACACCTGTGACAAGGTATAAGATTAAAGTGATGTCAGTATATGGGTAAGGGTTAACCTGACATTGAAGTTAAGTTTAGATTGTTGTCGGTTATGCGTCTTCCGATTTTCAATTTTACATCAATGTCCCCAGTCATGATAACGAGGATATGTGTAAGGACAAATTTGAAGAATTATATCTATAAATGAAATGTGTGAGTCTGGTCAGATGGTCCACTGACATATTACTTATCTTTATGAGACACGTATTGACTTGAATGGAAACCATTTCTTAATTGAAATTGTAAAAAGACATTTCTAAATTATGAAGCACTTAAAATATAACCTACAGAAGTAGGTACCAATGGAATATATCACATAAGTAGCGAAAAATCTCCGTAGAGTTAAATATGTGCATTTTAGATAAATCATGACTGACTACAATATTCGCACTTTCGTGACCTTTGATTGTATGTTAAGTATTTTATATCCAAATAAAGCAAAAAACTCAGGGTACATTTCAGCTCTTTCGTCGCCATCAGAAAAAACAATAGATACATTGTAATATACATACATGTACGTAGTACTTATGAGACTAAATAACTAAAATGCATAGAAGCTGAGAATATCAAATATAGTATATATAAATAAACACAGTGTAGATCGTTATCAAACTGTCAACAGGATGTAAATAAACAACATGTAAATACAAGCATAATAAATAATAATTATGTCACCCATTATCTACTAGAATTAGCAAGTTATTGAGTGAATGGTATACAGCTTGAATATGTATCAAGGTAACTGAAATCCCTGTAGATATTTAAATGTACACAGCATGCAAATAAATTGATAGGTATGCCCGGAGGTGTCACAACAGACCAGGGACGACACGAAATGCATTGTTATCATGACTAATATAGATTTTCCAATTGTAAATAAGTAAAGTTATTGATACAGAAACACCGTAAGTGTTTTTTAACGATCTTAACTGAGTACTATACATTTTGTAATGTACACGAAGAAAGGCCGCTTATCAACCCCTTAGAATTGAGGTATTATTTACCATGAAAGGATTGATCAAATACAGGAAATGAAACAAATATCATTTGTGATTACCGGAAGTACATTATTATGAAGCCTGGAAGTGAGTAAAGTCCAAAGGTATGCATATTCAATTTAACACAGCAAGCGTGCACAGTTCTACAACCTCTGAGGAACAAAATACATCCCCTGAAACAAAACTCCGGATTAAAAGCTTGTTAACTCCGGATGTGTGCACAACTATTAAAAACCGGAAGTGAGTACAATAATTTTATCCTTGATGTATGTACAGTATTTTACCCTAAAAGTGTTTACAATTATCCAACATGGAAGACTTATCAAGCAATGAAAAGTTACAGCTATTCAAAACTGGAAATGTGTACAAGTCTACAACAAAACTATACCGTTTTCAATATGCACACGACTTTCTAACAACTGAAGAAGATTCTTCAATGAAATCCGATTTTTTAAAGTTATTCAACTACGAAACTAAAAAACGGAAGCAGGAATAACTATCATATTCCTAAAAGAAAAAAAAAAACCCGCTGTAATCATTTATATTCAACTAAGTTAAGAACGGTATACAAATATATATATATGTTATTTAAGTCAAAGACCAATATATACATATAGTAAAGAAATTTGTTTGCAAACAATGTACTGCGAACTGAACATATGTTCATCGAAATCAAGAAGCTTCCTTTGGGAAAAGCATGGAAATGAAGTGCCATAATTCTTTAATGATCCAAAGACAGTTACTTTCCGTATTGATGAAGATAAACCTACGAGGAGATATTTAGGGGTTAGATTGTATCTAAACAAAGACGGACACTGCTCGAAAGCAACAAATCGCTTTTCAAGCAAAAATAATGTTTTGTTTTTAATACAGTAATAATGAAGTCAAACCAGAAATTACGTATTCGAGCTTATAGTGATCGGGACGGTACAATGATGGTAAAGGATGTAAATTTCACGTGATTTGCGAGGAAGATATTGTTACAATAGTTTGATAAACTGTACACTGATGTTTCCTTACATACAACAACTTCGCTTACTCGGCTCCGTAGAGGTTGAAGTAATATTCGCAAATGCTGCTGACTTCGGGAAAACTTTTCTTTAAATTTTCGGAAAACCTTCTGACCTGGGTGTAGATATTTTGAAATTCTTCTTGCTGGAAGTCAAGTCCCGGTGGAACAAACTCTCCATCGTCACATTGCGTTAAATCTACAGCTACCTTCCACACACATAGAGCCAACAGGGATGGGCGAACCTGGCTAAGTTCGTAATCCTGCAGTGACAACTCCAGTACGCAACGGGCATTCGCGCGGGCCTGCCTACGATACAAGAATAAGACAGTATATAACAACACGTGTGACATACTGACAGACAGTACAGAACAACACGTGTAACATACTGACAGACAGTACAGAACAACACGTGTAACATACTGACAGACAGTAGAGAACAACACGTGTAACATACTGACAGACAGTACAGAACAACACGTGTGACATACCGACAGACAGTACAGACCAACACGTGTAACATACTGACAGTATAGAACAACATGTGTGACATACCGACAGACAGTATAGAACAACACGTGTAACATACTGACAGACAGTACAGAACAACACGTGTAACATACTGACAGACAGTACAGAACAACACGTGTAACATACTGACAGACAGTAGAAAACAACACGTGTAACATACCGACAGACAGTAGAAAACAACACGTGTAACATACTGGCAGACAGTACAGAACAACACGTGTAACATACTGACAGACAGTAGAAAACAACACGTGTAACATACTGGCAGACAGTAGAAAACAACACGTGTAACATACTGGCAGACAGTATAGAACAACACGTGTAACATACCGACAGACAGTACAGAACAACACGTGTAACATACTGACAGACAGTAGAAAACAACACGTGTAACATACCGACAGACAGTAGAAAACAACACGTGTAACATACTGGCAGACAGTACAGAACAACACGTGTAACATACTGACAGACAGTAGAAAACAACACGTGTAACATACTGGCAGACAGTAGAAAACAACACGTGTAACATACTGGCAGACAGTATAGAACAACACGTGTGACATACCGACAGACAGTACAGACCAACACGTGTAACATACCGACAGACAGTATAGAACAACACGTGTAACATACTGACAGACAGTACAGAACAACACGTGTAACATACCGACAGACAGTATAGAACAACACGTGTAACATACTGACAGACAATAGAGAACAACACGTGTAACATACTGACAGACAATAGAGAACAACACGTGTAACATACTGACAGACAGTATAGAACAACACGTGTAACATACTGACAGACAGTATAGAACAACACGTGTGACATACCGACAGTATAGAACAACACGTGTAACATACTGACAGACAGTATAGAACAATTATACCGACAGACAGTATAGAACAATTATACCGACAGACAATATAGAACTATACGTGTAAGATATAGTTGCGGGATCACACTGCATTACACGATGTGCGACAGGCGCATGATGTCTGTACGATGTATGTTTGATGTGCGCACGATAGGAAAATATGCGATTCTATCGTTGTTAATACAAATTTAGAAATTACTTATAAATAAGTGTGGGATAGGGTTTATTATCATTTTCTAAATATACATGACTACAACTAAGTATAATTCCTAATTAAGCCGTTGATATATAGGTGGGACAGTAGTAGATATATCACATACACACTGAATAGTTAGATACACTCGTAATTTTAAGTGTTATGTTTACAAAGAGCCACACGTGACCAGCCTTAGTGTACAGACACACATTATATATACATTATATATGTAAACATTAAATGGACGTCTCTTCCTATCACAGCAATAAATCATTTAAAATTGATACCGTCAGAAAGGAAATTTTATTTTCATTACTTCTGTATCACTCTCATTTTTCATTCATTTTCTAAACAAAAATTATATGCTCAGGTAAATCTTAAGTGTTGTTTTTGTTACACGGGCGACCCAGCGGATCCGGATCTGTCACATATATACCCGTATACAGATAAGCTTTTGTTCACGTACTCTCTATTTAATGCTAATATCACGAATTTTCCGTTTAATTTTCAATCCGTAATATTAGCCAACCATTTTTTACCAAACCGCAAAAAATGCCCCTATCCTATACGATACTGTATCGTGCGCACGATCTGTGCATGAAGTTTGTGGGGGTGTTTTGCGTTACCACAACTGTACAAAACTGTACACGTGCAACATACAAAACAGACAGAACACTGAGAATTACACGTGTAACATACAAAACAGACAGCATTGAACAACATACAAAAACATGTTTTCTTTCTGTAGATGCGTGCACAAATGACATATTTCTATAAGCTATCACTTCACATGATTGTTTAAGCAGCAAATACATGACCTCTTTTATTTGAAACCTGAGAGTTCCTTTAAAATATGAATGGTAAATAGAATATTACATTCATGTCCATATTAGGTTAATTTGAAAATAAAAAATGATTGAATTTTTTTTAAATATTCAAAGGCAGAAATAAGAGGGTCATGACCCTTAACGGTCATCTGACAATCGATAGATGGATGACAAATCACAAAATTTGCTGATGGTGGTCTGATAAATCTGATGAATTCAAATTTTGAACATTCCTTAAAAGTATCAGAAACTCACAAATGGTAAGTTCTGTACATGAAATACAGCTGTGCAATCAAGTTACAAATTGGCTACTGTTGTTAAAGTTTTCATCAGGCTGAAAAAATAACAACATATCATCTCTTTTTTCCCCTTAAAAATCCAGTTTTCATCAATGGTGTGAATGAAGCTTGAAAAATAGTTCAAACTATTTGTTCAATATAAAATATGTTGGATTTTGGACCAAAGCGAAAAAAATAAGATTTGGTCAGTACAATATCAGGATCACGTTATGCACTTTTGAGTTCATTGTCACTCCCTGATAATGTTTCGAGCCATTTATGGTTGAAATCATTAAGAAGTATTAAGAGAAAGTAGCGTTTTGAAGGAAAGTATTGTCTACCTTCACCGTCCCCGAGTCCCCAGGGCTCAACTCAACTTTCTGATTTTAAGAATTAATTGTCCATAGCTACTGATGTTTCAGACAAAATTTGAATTAATCCAATTAATTATTAAGGAACAGTAGCGTTTTGAACCAAAATATTGACTAACTTCCCCATTTCGGGGCCTGTCCCTAAGTTCCTAGAGGAAGAGTGAATTTTCTGAATTTAAGAAATGATTCCCTTCCTACAATGATATTTCGGGAAACATTGGGTTTAAATCCATTCAAGCATTAAGAAAAAGCAGCGTTTGAAGAAAGATTGTGGACTAAGCTTCCGATTTGGGGCCCCGCCCCCAGATCCCAAGGGGTTTATTCAACTTTATGAATTTAAAAAAATGATAATCCACATGCAACAATGTTAAAAATCTACAAAGGTATTAAGAAGGAGTAGCGTTTTGAGGCAAAATATTGTCGATCTTCTATTGGAGCCCTGTCCCTACGTCCCTAGGTGTCGAATCCACTTTTTGGATTTAAGAAATAATTGACCCACGGAACTGATGAATCAGACCAAAACTTGTTGAAATCCACCAAGGCAGAAAGGAGGACTAGGGTTTTAAAGCTAATATCAACACCCCACCCCTCGTTTGGGTCTCCGTCCCTTGCCCCCTTGGGGTCGAATCAAAATTATGAATTATGAATGAAGAAATAATTATCCTCACTCAATGATGCATTCGACCGCATTTGGTTGAAATCCGCTATGGCATGGAAGAGGAGCAGGGTTTTAAAAGAAAAAGTTTACGCGCGACGCACAGCTGACAGCGCACAACGACGAACAATGCACGATAGCAATAGGTCATCTTGACCATTCGGGTCAGATAACCTAAAAGTAGGGAACTCTATCGCCAGCTTTTAGACGGTACCTACCTGAGCCGGTCACTCTGGAAGCCACCGAACAGGCAGATACAACAAGAAGAGAAGTATTCCAAGAAAAACTGGGGCGTTGGGACCAGCAGATCGAACTTAATAGCATTTAGAATAACCCTCTCTAGATGTTTGACCTGGTCACGTGAGTAAGTGTCAGTACAGCAACTCAGAAGCTCGGTAATTTCCGGCGGACTAACTTCCTCCTGGTGGGTAAGGGAGAAAATATATTAACAATAATTTTCTTATAATTTTCCTATTTTAAACTAAATATAAATCCAAAAATGTTTTTTCAGTCTGCAGGGAAACAAGTACTTATTTCTAACCGATTAGCGATTTCCTTTATGACAATATTTCTCTGTGAATCTGTAGAGATATTTCAATGAATACAGGCAACAGTAACACTATTCAAATTTATAAAGAGGCATGCTGGACTTCAAAAATGTCGACCAAAGTCAATTTATACAAAGCGCAAATAAGAAATTGTACCAAAATTAAAAGCAATTTGTATAGATTTCAGAAAAGATAAACCCAATTAAACTCCATTTTACTGGCATATTTCAATTATCAAACCGCCTCATTACCAACAAATGTCAATAACAAAGTTAATTACAAAAAAAAAACAAAAAAACACTCATTAAATATGTAAGGGTTGTTTCTGTTTAGATTGTAACAATAAAGTCTAATCAACTTTGTATATAGACTTCTATATGTGTAGAAACATTTCTGTATACAGGCATCACAGGCCTTTCTGTATACAGGCATCACAGGTCTTTCTGTTTACAGGCATCACAGGCCTTTCTGTATACAGGCATCACAGACCTTTCTGTATACAGGCATCACAGGCCTTTCTGTATACAGGCATCACAGGCCTTTCTGTATACAGGCATCAAAGGCCTTTCTGTATACATCAAAGGCCTTTCTGTATACAGGCATCACAGGCCTTTCTGTATACAGGCATCAAAGGCCTTTCTGTATACAGGCATCACAGGCCTTTCTGTATACAGGCATCACATGCCTTTCTGTATACAGGAATCAAAGGCCTTTCTGTATACAGGCATCACAGGCCTTTCTGTATACAGGAATCAAAGGCCTTTCTGTATACAGGCATCACAGATCTTTCTGTATACAGGAATCAAAGGCATTTCTGTATACAGGCATCACAGATCTTTCTGTTTACAGGCATCACAGATCTTTCTGTATACAGGCATCACAGGCCTTTCTGTATACAGGCATCACAGGCCTTTCTGTATACAGTCATCACAGATCTTTCTGTATACAGGCATCACAGGCCTTTCTGTATACAGGCATCACAGGCCTTTCTGTATACAGTCATCACAGATCTTTCTGTATACAGGCATCACAGGCCTTTCTGTATACAGGCATCACAGGCCTTTCTGTATACAGTCATCACAGATCTTTCTGTATACAGGCATCACAGGCCTATCTGTATACAGGCATCACAGATCTTTCTGTAAACAGGCATCACAGGCCTTTCTGTAAACAGGCATCACAGGCCTTTCTGTATACATGCATCACAGATCTTTCTGTATACAGGCATCACAGATCTTTCTGTTTACAGGCATCACAGATCTTTCTGTTTACAGACATCACAGACCTTTCTATATACAGGCATCAGAGACATTTCTGTTTACAGGCATCACAGATCTTTCTGTTTACAGGCATCACAGACCTTTCTGTATACAGGCATCACAGATCTTTCTGTTTACAGGCATCAAAGGCCTTTCTGTATACAGGCATCACAGACCTTTCTGTATATAGTTATCAAAGGCCTTTCTATATACAGGCATCACAGACCTTTCTGTATACAGGCATCCAAGGCCTTTCTGTATACAGGCATCACAGACCTTTCTGTATACAGGCATCAAAGGCCTTTCTGTATACAGGCATCACAGACCTTTCTGTATACAGGCATCAAAGGCCTTTCTGTATACAGGCATCACAGGCCTTTCCATATACAGGCATCACAGACCTTTCTGTATACAGGCATCAAAGGCCTTTCTGTATACAGGAATCACAGGCCTTTCTGTATACAGGCATCACAGACCTTTCTGTATACAGGCCTTTCTGTATACAGGCATCACATGCCTTTCTGTATACAGGCATCACAGACCTTTCTGTATACAGGCATCAAAGGCCTTTCTGTATACAGGAATCACATGCCTTTCTGTATACAGGCATCACAGACCTTTCTGTATACAGGCATCAAAGGCCTTTCTGTATACAGGAATCACAGGCCTTTCTGTATACAGGCATCACAGACATTTCTGTATACAGGCATGACAGACCTTTCTGTATACAGGCATCACAGGCCTTTCTGTATACAGGCATCACAGGCCTTTCTGTATACAGGCATCACAGACATTTCTGTATACAGGCATCACAGACATTTCTGGCATCACAGGCATTTCTGGCATCACAGGCCTTTCTGTATACAGGCATCACAGACCTTTCTGTATACAGGCATCAAAGGCCTTTCTGTATACAGGCATCAGAGACCTTTCTGTATATAGGCATCAAAGGCCTTTCTGTATACAGGCATCACAGGCCTTTCTGTATACAGGCATCAAAGGACTTTCTGTATACAGGCATCACAGGCCTTTCTGTATACAGGCATCACAGACATTTCTGTATACAGGCATCACAGACATTTCTGGCATCACAGGCCTTTCTGTATACAGGCATCAAAGACCTTTCTGTATAGAGTCATCAAAGGCCTTTCTGTATATAGTCATCATAGACATTTCTGGCATCACAGGCCTTTCTTTATACAGGCATCAAAGGGCTTTCTGTATACAGTCATCACAGACATTTCTGGCATCACAGGCCTTTCTGTACACAGGCATCACAGGCCTTTCTGTATACAGTCATCACAGGCCTTTCTGTATACAGTCATCAAAGGCCTTTCTGTATACAGGCATCACAGGCAAGGAGCAGTTCACCTTTGTTGGAATGGAATTTAAAAACTTGAAGGAATTATTATGTGTACTTTTTCTTCTCTGGTAGAATTAGCACTGACGGAAATAACATACTATGTACCATTGTGAGGATAGTGAAATACTGTAGATCCGAGTAAGATATCTGTAGCTGACATGGTGCAAAGATTATGATAAATAAGTACAGGTACAGTCCAATATTATCATCCAGTTCTGAAAAAATGAAGGGAAACTGATCAATAGAAAATGGAGCGAAACCGAAAAACAACACCTATATTTCATCGCAGGAGCGGAAACCACAGTATGGCAAAAATGACGACCAGATGCAAACCTATATAGGCCTGTCTATGTCGGGGCAGGGAAAGAAAACAGTCGACATATATAACACAACCAACTGGAGAAAACAGTTGTTTCTCGTGTTAGCTTTCACGTTTAGCAAAATCGGTAAGGACTGGGTTTCCGGTTAGTCAATATATTGTGAAGGGATGTAGTTTTGTTTTACTCCTGTGTCCAGCTTATTGCATTTCAGTGTGATAACACTATAAATACCTCCAAGTATGGCTGCCCTCCATTATCGGTGAACACAGTCTGGCAATGTGTGAAACCCAAAACAAACAAGCCAATACATCTACTTGCTTGTAAACTTACACATTTGGCGGCTATCAATAGTGATGCAATGCCCAGAAGCTGGAGGTAGTCTCTCGAGGCATGCATGATGTCCAGTATTCGGTCCACGATATTGACTGCGACAAACAAGCTGTCCTGACACATGATTAGCTGATGGTGAACCCCAGTCATCCAGCTAATCAGCAGGCCCCTCATACCAGGGGTAACCTGAAGTTCAAATGTTCTTAGTGTAAAAAGTATTTTAAAATAATATTAAAAACACGTACATTTTTTAAACAAAAGAAAATCAAGGAATTTGAATACTCTAAGAAGTGAAAACAATGACGGGGCAGTATAAAGATAAAATTTATATGTAATTTACCTCCGATGTAGCGCCTTATTAATCTATATGTAACACTATTAATTGGGGCTAATCTTAACTCTATCATCAATCAGCTGATTCCTCCAGACACAATGTATAGGTGAAGAGATGATACAATGTAAGTACAGGTCTGAAGCAGAACCCTTGGAACTTGCAGAAGTTGAAGATACTATTATCACCGACAACTTTAGAGTGATTCTGACACGACTTTCAGTGCCACGATTTCTAGTCACAACCAGTGACGACATAATTGTGTTACTGCCACAATTTCTAGTCACAACCAGTGACGATATAATAGTGTTACTGTCACGATTGCTCGTCACAACCAGTTACGACATAATAGTGTTACTGCTACGATTGCTAGTCACAACCAGTGACGACATGAGAGTGTTACTGCCACGATTGCTAGTCACAACCAGTTACGACATAATAGTGTTACTACTACGATTGCTAGTCACAACCAGTGACATTATAGTGTTACTGCCACGATTGCTAGACACAACCAGTGACGACATAATAGTGTTACTGCTACGATTGCTAGTCACAACCAGTGACGACATGAGAGTGTTACTGCCACGATTGCTAGTCACAACCAGTGACGATATAATAGTGTTACTACTACGATTGCTAGTCACAACCAGTGACATTATAGTGTTACTGCCACGATTGCTAGACACAACCAGTGACGACATGAGAGTGTTACTGCCACGATTGCTAGTCACAACCAGTGACGACATGAGAGTGTTACTGCCACGATTGCTAGTCACAACCAGTGACGACATAATAGTGTTACTACTACGATTGCTAGTCACAACCAGTGACGACATAATAGTGTTACTACTACGATTGCTAGACACAACCAGTGACGACATGAGAGTGTTACTGCCACGATTGCTAGTCACAACCAGTGACGACATGAGAGTGTTACTGCCACGATTGCTAGTCACAACCAGTGACGACATAATAGTGTTACTACTACGATTGCTAGTCACAACCAGTGACATTATAGTGTTACTGCCACGATTGCTAGTCACAACCAGTTACGACATAATAGTGTTACTGCTACGATTGCTAGTCACAACCAGTGACGACATGAGAGTGTTACTGCCACGATTGCTAGTCACAACCAGTGACGACATAATAGTGTTACTACTACGATTGCTAGTCACAACCAGTGACATTATAGTGTTACTGCCACGATTGCTAGACACAACCAGTGACGACATGAGAGTGTTACTGCCACGATTGCTAGTCACAACCAGTTACGACATAATAGTGTTACTGCTACGATTGCTAGTCACAACCAGTGACGATATAATAGTGTTACTACTACGATTGCTAGTCACAACCAGTGACGATATAATAGTGTTACTGTCACGATTGCTAGTCACAACCAGTTACGACATAATAGTGTTACTGCTACGATTGCTAGTCACAACCAGTGACGACATAAGAGTGTTACTGCTACGATTGCTAGACACAACCAGTGACGACATAATAGTGTTACTGGTACGATTGCCACGATTGACATACACATCTATATTGTTTAATATTTTCAGACCTATATTTTTATTTCATTTTTGCTCAATTCTTTTTTCATTCACGTTGGGAACCTGGGTTTAAAACGATGAAAATGTTTTGTATGTGAACCATCTACATTTCTACTGGACAAGAACCTATCATTATCAGTGTATTAGGATCACGAGAATTACAAAAGTTATAGCGTCGATTTGGTAACTGTAAAAATTATAAAACATAGCCAGGATAGAACTAATATTTCAGTAGAGTTTTCCCTCCCGGAAATTAGCACGGCCATCATAAATGTATACCTGGCAAGGCTTGCTGGCATATAATAGGCTAGTAAGTATGGAAGTTTGGCCACTCTAGTGGTGAAATTTTCGAAGATTCCACAGAAGCAATGTCCATTTTTTTGTTTTACTGAAGAGAAATGTAACTACCAAATAAACTTATCTCTATTCTATAATCAGTACACGATCCTTCCGTTATTGATTTTACAAGGAAAGGACACTCACCTCCCCTTGTCCCTCGGACACTCACCTCTCGTTGTCTCTCGGACACTCACCTCCCCTTGTCCCTCGGACACTCACCTCTTGTTGTCTCTCGGACACTCACCTCCCCTTGTCCCTCGGACACTCACCTCTCGTTGTCTCTCGGACACTCACCTCCCCTTGTCCCTCGAACACTCACCTCTCGTTGTCTCTCGGACACTCACCTCCCGTTGTCTCTCGGACACTCACCTCTCGTTGTCTCTCGGACACTCACCTCCCGTTGTCTCTCGGACACTCACCTCTCGTTGTCTCTCGGACACTCACCTCCCGTTGTCTCTCGGACACTCACCTCCCGTTGTCCCTCGGACACTCACCTCCCGTTGTCTCTCGGACACTCACCTCCCGTTGTCTCTCGGACACTCACCTCTCGTTGTCTCTCGGACACTCACCTCCCGTTGTCTCTCGGACACTCACCTCCCGTTGTCTCTCGGACACTCACCTCTTGTTGTCCCTCGGACACTCACCTCTCGTTGTCCCTCAAGACAGTTGTTCACTTGGTACTTGTACTCAATACTCAGTCGGTGATGATATATGTCATTTAGATGATCTTGAAATCCACGATGATCGGGGCTATGTAAAAGTGTTGATGACAGGTACAAGGGGACGGGATCCGGACTCTGGGACACGTCCTCCCAGTCAAGTACCGTCTCCAGACACTGAGTGTTGAGGGAGTCGTCATAACCGGAATCCGCAAGACTTGGGTTCTCTGAGGCGGTATCCGGGGGCGTGCTTACATCCGGTGGGACCTTTTAGATAAAAAACACGAAAGTGATTTCGTTTGCCAATTTATTTATTTATAAATATATATATATGAATGCATATGTATGCAAATATACATTACAGATATGCACTATAAACTCACCACGGAGTACGAATTATTTACACTATCCTGGCGTGTTTCCTGGTCTCATATTCATGTGATATACTTTTATTCTCCTGAATACGTAAAACTCATGGATGTGTAAAACTCATGGATATATAAAACTCATGGATATATAAAACTCATGGATGTGTAAAACTCACGGGTATGTAAAACTCATGGATGTGTAAAACTCATGGATGTGTAAAACTCATGGATGTGTAAAACTCATGGATATATAAAACTCATGGATATATAAAACTCATGGATGTGTAAAACTCATGGATATGTAAAACTCATGGATAAAACTCATGGATATATAAAACTCATGGATTTTTAAAACTCATGGATATATAAAACTCATGGATATATAAAACTCATGGATATATAAAACTCATGGATGTGTAAAACTCATGGATATATAAAACTCATGGATATATAAAACTCATGGATATATAAAACTCATGGATGTGTAAAACTCATGGATGTGTAAAACTCATGGTGGATAAAACTCATGGATATATAAAACTCATGGATATATAAAACTCATGGATATATAAAACTCATGGATGTGTAAAACTCATGGATATATAAAACTCATGATATATGATATATAAAACTCATGGATATATAAAACTCATTGATATGTAAAACTCATGGATATATAAAACTCATGGATATGTAAAACTCATGGATATATAAAACTCATGGATATATAAAACTCATGGATATATAAAACTCATGGATATGTAAAACTCATGGATATATAAAACTCATGGATATATAAAACTCATGGATATATAAAACTCATGGATATATAAAACTCATGGATATATAAAACTCATGGATATATAAAACTCATGGATGTGTAAAACTCATGGATATGTAAAACTCATGGATATATATGGATATATAAAACTCATGGAAATATAAAACACATGGATATGTAAAACTCATGGATATATAAAACTCATGGATATATAAAACTCATGGATGTGTAAAACTCATGGATATATAAAACTCATGGATATGTAAAACTCATGGATATGTAAAACTCATGGATGTGTAAAACTCATGGATATATAAAACTCATGGATATATAAAACTCATGGATATGTAAAACTCATGGATATATAAAACTCATGGATATATAAAACTCATGGATGTGTAAAACTCATGGATATATAAAACTCATGGATATATAAAACTCATGGATATATAAAACTCATGGATATATAAAACTCATGGATATATAAAACTCATGGATATATAAAACTCATGGATATATAAAACTCATGATATATGTAAAACTCATGGATATATAAAACTCATGGATGTCTAAAACTCATGGATATATAAAACTCATGGATATATAAAACTCATGGATATATAAAACTCATGGATATATAAAACTCATGGATATATAAAACTCATGGATATATAAAACTCATGGATGTGTAAAACTCATGGATATATAAAACTCATGGATGTGTAAAACTCATGGATATATAAAACTCATGGATATATAAAACTCATGGATATATAAAACTCATGGATATATAAAACTCATGGATATGTAAAACTCATGGATATATAAAACTCATTGATATGTAAAACTCATGGATATGTAAAACTCATGGATATATAAAACTCATGGATGTGTAAAACTCATGGATATATAAAACTCATGGATATGTAAAACTCATGGATATATAAAACTCATGGATATGTAAAACTCATGGATATATAAAACTCATGGATATATAAAACTCATATGATGGATGTGTAAAACTCATGGATATATAAAACTCATGGATATATAAAACTCATGGATGTGTAAAACTCATGGATATGTAAAACTCATGGATATATAAAACTCATGGATGTGTAAAACTCATGGATATATAAAACTCATGGATGTGTAAAACTCATGGATATATAAAACTCATGGATATATAAAACTCATGGATATATAAAACTCATGGATATATAAAACTCATGGATATATAAAATATGTAAAACTCATGGATATGTGTAAAACTCATGGATATATAAAACTCATGGATATATAAAACTCATGGATATATAAAACTCATGGATATATAAAACTCATGGATATATAAAACTCATGGATGTGTAAAACTCATGGATGTGTAAAACTCATGGATATATAAAACTCATGGATATATAAAACTCATGGATATGTAAAACTCATGGATGTGTAAAACTCCTTGATGTGTAAAACTCATGGATGTGTAAAACTCACGGGTATGTTAAACTCATGGATATGTAAAACTCATGGATATGTAAAACTCACGGGTATGTTAAACTCATGGATATGTAAAACTCATGGATATATAAAACTCATGGATATGTAAAACTCATGGATATATAAAACTCATGGATATGTAAAACTCATGGATGTGTAAAACTCATGGATATATAAAACTCATGGATATGTAAAACTCATGGATATGTAAAACTCCTTGATGTGTAAAACTCCTTGATGTGTAAAACTCATGGATATATAAAACTCATGGATATGTAAAACTCATGGATATATAAAACTCATGGATGTGTAAAACTCATGGATATATAAAACTCATGGTATATAAAACTCATGGATATGTAAAATATGGATAAAACTCATGGATATATGATATATAAAACTCATTGATATGTAAAACTCATGGATGTGTAAAACTCATTGATATGTAAAACTCATTGATATGTAAAACTCATGGATATATAAAACTCATGGATGTGTAAAACTCATGGATATGTAAAACTCACGGGTATGTAAAACTCATTGATATGTAAAACTCATGGATATGTAAAACTCATGGATATATAAAACTCATTGATATATAAAACTCATGGATGTGTAAAACTCATGGATATGTAAAACTCATGGATATGTAAAACTCATTGATATGTAAAACTCATGGATATATAAAACTCATGGATATGTAAAACTCATGGATGTGTAAAACTCATTGATATGTAAAACTCATGGATGTGTAAAACTCATGGATGTGTAAAACTCATGGATATGTAAAACTCATGGATATATAAAACTCATGGATATATAAAACTCATGGATGTGTAAAACTCATGGATGTGTAAAACTCATGGATGGTAAAACTCATGTGTAAAACTCATGGATGTGTAAAACTCATGGATATATAAAACTCATGGATATGTAAAACTCATGGATGTGTAAAACTCATGGATATGTAAAACTCATGGATATATAAAACTCATGGATGTGTAAAACTCATGGATATATAAAACTCATGGATATATAAAACTCATGGATATATAAAACTCATGGATGTGTAAAACTCATGGATATGTAAAACTCATGGATGTGTAAAACTCATGGATGTGTAAAACTCATGGATATGTAAAACTCATGGATATGTAAAACTCATGGATGTGTAAAACTCATGGATGTATATAAATAAAACTCATGGATATGTAAAACTCATGGATATGTAAAACTCATGGATGTGTAAAACTCATGGATATATAAAACTCATGGATATGTAAAACTCATGGATATATAAAACTCATGGATATATAAAACTCATGGATATATAAAACTCATGGATATGTAAAACTCATTGATATGTAAAACTCATTGATATGTAAAACTCATGGATATGTAAAACTCATGGATATATAAAACTCATGGATGTGTAAAACTCATGGATGTGTAAAACTAATGGATGTGTAAAACTCATGGATATTTAAAACTAATGGATGTGTAAAACTCATGAATATGTAAAACTCGTGGATATATACTAGCGGAAAAAAGAAACCAAGTTTTTTTTAACAGCACACATCCAGTGCACAAAATTTCATTCCAAGGCGATTAAAAAGCAGCATGCCGCGAATGTCCGAAGTTGATAGGGGTAGGGCTATTGCCCGAATTCTACAGAGCCAATCGCAACGTCTCGTCGCCGAGCAATTTGGAGTCCATGAGTCAACGATAGCTTGATTAGTTGGGCGTCTCAGGGCCACGGGAAGATTAGCTGACCGTCCCAGGAGCGGACGTCCACGCGTTACGACGCCACGTCAAGATCAGGTCATACGTCTCTCACACCTACGTAACCGATTTCAGGCAGCGACGGAGACGCCAAGTCATATTGTAGGCACTCATGGTCGCCGTGTGTGTCCAAGAACAGTTAGGAATCGGTTGCGGGAGTTCAATTTAAGGCCACGACGTCCCTACGTTGGTCCGCAATTTACACCCAGGCGACATCAACGTCGAATGCAATGGCTGCATCAACGTCGAATGCAATGGCTGCGTGCACATGCACCAAATCGGTTTCGCTTGGCCCGCTGGAGACGCGTGTTATTCACGGACGAGTCTCGGTTCACGTTGTACAGGTCAGATGGACGTAACCGTTGCTATCGACGTCGCGGTGAGCGATATTTTGACGCATGCGTTAAAGAAAACGACAGATTCGAGGGAGGGTCTGTTATGGTTTGGGCGGGGATTTCTCATGGCGTGAAAACGCCTCTCGTGATCATCATTGGCAATCTTACAGCCGTCCGATATCGGGATCAGGTCCTCATTCCTCATGTCCTTCCATTAATCCAAGCGCGAAACCTTACGTTGCAGCAGGATAATGCGAGGCCGCACGTTGCTAGGGTATGTCGTAACTTCCTCAACCAAAACAATGTCCCAGTACTCGACTGGCCACCCTACAGTCCAGATCTATCCCTGATCGAGCATTTGTGGGACGAGCTGGACAGGAGGCTCAGGAAGCGCGTCAGCGTACCAAACAACGTCGCTCAGCTCACGCAGGCCCTTCTTAAGGAGTGGAATAACATCCCAAAAAGGACCATAAACAATTTGATGGGGTCAGTGGTATGAGAGTTAGAGCAGCGACTGCAGCTCGAGGTGGGCACACCAGCTATTGATTTTGATCAGGAAATGGCGTAGGGTATCCACGTCATGCCAACGCCGTCTGTGTTAAGACAACAGAACTTATCAAATTTTAATCAGTAATGAGGAATTAATATAAACATCTTAACAATGATATGATCATCCATAAAACATTTGAAATATTTACCACCGGACAAAAACTTGCGTTTCTTTTTTCCGTTAGTTTATAAAACACATGGATATGTAAAACTCATGGATATCAATTTGAAACACCACAAAGTTTGCATTAAACTAGAAAAAAAATTGAGCAACACCAACGATTAAAAATACATGCTATGAATTCCATTTTAAGCATTAATCCGTCTTCTTCAGGCCATCTGGATATTGCAACCTGGCTGAAATCGGGAATCTTAGTACGGTAAAAACGGAAATCCCAAATAGAGATTCTGGGATTTCTAGATGAATTCCTTGGCATATCAAACATGTACATATACAACCATATGTAGGAATTATTTCTATATTTGAACCGAAATATCAAGACAGAACAAACAGTATGATCTTCTCTCAAGTCCGTGGCGATTTAGTCGGTTGAATAAGCACGCATTATACTTCATTATGGACATATATAATATATCTGATGAGAGTGTTACGATCAGTATGTGATTCTTAAATGTATTGTGTTTATTGATTTAACACGAACGAAAATTTATAAATTCTGAAATGCTTATAAATCTTTAAACCTAAATAGCTACGTTTAAATGAGTATCAAAAGGTACTGAAGGAAAACAGCTTAGATCCTTCCTCAATAACCGTTATTGACGTGTGAAATTAAAGTCACAATAGATGTTCAGTATTGCTGTTAGACATTGAACGAGAAAGTAAAATAATAACTGAGAAATAAACAGTCACCAATACTGTAAAACCATTTATTTTTTTTTGGCATTTAATTTTGTGATACAGTGCAATAAAGTTACTTATAAGTCCAAATAATTACTTATACTGATTTCATTAGTTCGTGGATATATTAATTCGCGGATTAAGAGTACCCACTTTATCAACGAAAATAAAACTCCCACGAAAATGAATGATTTCACAGTATACTAAATGTGGAAAAATATTTTTAAAGGGTGTAAATTCATTACAAGTACCAAAATTGATTATCGTAATGATATGTATTATATTCTGATTAAATATCATACTTGATCCGAGTATGTCAATATGTTATGTATTAAGTTGGTGTGCTTGAAGCATGGAACGGTTAAAAAAATCTGCAAAAAACTCCCCAAATCTGAACCACAGAATCGGAACTTTCCATGTAAAATTACAAAGTCGTCTAAATAAAGACGATTTTACCTTGATAATAATATACTTATCGATTGAAAGAGAGAAGTTGACAAATTATAACTGACAGTTCACATGGTTTTTGTTTTTGTCTTTTTTTTTTTATCATTTTTGAACAACGACCGAAACATATTAGAATTTCATCAATACAATAAAAAAAAGGTTATAAATTAACGCGAAAACAAATCATGTGTTTCGTTTTCTTAGCGTAAAGCGTGCCAAAAGTGACCACCCTTCTTCAGTTCTATTAAAACTGGACAGACGAGTTAGCTAAGGGTACCTGTATAGGTAATCCCCGGCGTGTACGTGATATAATACCGCCAAAGTAAACCCAATATGCGGTCTATCACATTCCTTCCGCTGTATTATTTTAATCGACAAACTTTTTACCGATGTCTTGATAAATAAAACTGACAACATTTATGCAGGTGTTGTTCATACCAATGTTGTTACTGCTTCTATTTAAAAGAATTCAGAGGTTTTTGTGCACTCTCACTCTAGGATGTCCAAAAGAGGGGTGAAATGTAACTAGTAAGTATAAGTTATATCCCTCACATCACGATTATCTGGGTTTTTTTTCTCTCTGAATGTTCATCAAACAGTCTCACAGATTAAAAGAAAAATGGCTGACGATTTTAACAATTTATGTTATCTGAAGTATATGATGAATGAGTATTTAGTTAAAATGTTAAGTTTATTTTAATAAGATGTGGTGACACTGATAATAATGGTCTCCTGAAGCAGTATTTCTTACGCCCCCATCGCTCTACAAATAAAAAAGACATCCGACCATTTCAACCCCAACATGCCACCTGGTTAATTTTAAAATTCAAACCGTTTCTTCGAATTTTTTCTAAAGATCATTTTTTCTTTAAATGTTGTGAAATATAGTTTGAATAATCCAATTTTATTTTTATGCTATTTCATTTTACTTACAAAAAGAAGAAAATCACAGAAAAAGGTTGACACTGGATGGTTCAAAACGCCCCCTCCAGCCTACTCTCCCCCCTTCCCAAACCAAACTTCTAAGATTAGATATTTTGTTACCGTATCCTTGGGGTCGTCAACAAAGAGTCCGACATCGACATCTTGGTATTCTGAACAAATGCAGTTAATTATTGTAGTACGAATCGAGAGACCCCCGGGCATCTCTGCTCGATGTAGCATGGGCGCTGACGATGAGATCTCATTCTTTGATGTCATATCTTCCGGGGGTGGGGGATCGAACCTGATAGCTGAATAACTGCTGGCGTATGTCCCGTGGGTGGACTCGTCGCACTGTGATGTTGGGGGGAGTTGACACTTGGTAAGGATGAACGATGAAGTTTCGGAAGCTGAATCCAGGTGTTCGTTTGGATGGAAAACATCAGCATGCGTTCTAGTTGCATACGAAGACTGTGGAATACAGGGAAAGAGCGCAGGAGGACTGTCGACCGACATGTGGATTGGTAAATGTCCTGACAAATTCAGAATTCCGATGTCCTTACGCACATTGGTGCCGCAGATTACAAAAGCCAAGTGGACACGTATTCACACATGTACAGGGCTTCTCTGTTTACATCCAAACAGGTGGGCGAGTTCATTATATAACGACACCAGTACATAGGGGTGTCAGGTGTCGTAAAAAAATTACATATATTTCTTTCCTAATGGATATGAAAAGTGACTCCGAGATTACACAGTTACATCCATTTTATTTACCAGATCAAACGTTTGTCATGATTTTATTTTGCTTCTCTTTGTAAGCTCACCGTTAATCCTCTGAGAAAAGGAAGAAACGGTTTGATCTAAAGTTCGACTACGACCTTGCTTGGGCTATTTCATGCGTTGGCGACGCGTGTTCCCCCTTGTCCAGTTGTTCACGTTATAAATACATTTCAGTTCATAAAATATGTTGAGGTTAAAAAGAACTTTCGTGTGCACCGGTAAGGCGATTTATTTTCAGTGGTGTAAAGATTAAATGACAGATTTCTGGTACACGGTTTAGTATCATATACACTAGACTCAAACTATAGCAATTTGTGATAAAAAGAAAGTAAGTTTTTTTTTTTTTTTTTTAAATATTTCTTTTTAATATTCCACTATATTACACATGCATGTTTATTACTTGTGATATTGAAAAATTATGAAACATGGAAATTTAACTATTGAAAATTAGAAATTGTAAATGACTTTGATTGTCGCTGCTTTTTTTTCTGAATTACGATGGAAGTTTTAGAAACACGCCCCCAAAAACCGTTCCTGGTCATTATAATCATTATGATTTATCGCATGTTAATGAAGATACGTGCCATTTTGTTTTCGCTGTTTGGAATTAGACCAACAAGAAAATTAAATGATATTCAAACACTTCGCTATATTTTTTAGATTCACAAATATTTTGATACTTCCATCACGTCCCTCCATCCCACGCTCGGCCCCAACCCCTACTTTTCACATTTTACGTTCCTGTCGATACTAATTGTTGATATTTAAGAGTCTTGTAATTGGTTTCCCTGATACAGACGACACATGTAAAATGAAAACGCTAGATTGTAGAATATGGATGTACATGAAGAAGGCAACGTTGATGAACTTAAGAACGAGAACATTTCAGTGTAATAAACAGCTGGGAATATAATTAATGTCATCTGTGTATATAAACTATGTTGAAATCAAATCAAAACTCCATGTACGTTAGATCAGGATTACTTAAGGGTGTATTTGGTGCTCTTCAACTTCGTTTGTGCTTTCGAAAAAAAGAGATTGCCTTATCTCTGAATGTATAAAGAATTATTGAAACTTTACTTGTCAAACAAGCAAAAAGTAATATACATATATACCTTATCGGTATTCATTCTGTATGTTTGTTAGTTTTTCTGATGTTCCCTTAAAAAGAATCGTTTTCTGAGACACGTGGATATCTCATTCTTAATAAAAAAAAGTAATGGTACAAAATTAGTCTATTTATAGATCTTCTCCATCGGTGGTATAATGTATACGTCACCAGTACCCCTATAATTATGTCATTATGTGTTTATAAATATACCACTCTGACAAACATTCATTTATACAAACTGTTTCATTCCCGTTCGTTCGTATGACTCACATTTACAACATCATTCCCTATAGACTCCATAGAACCGCGGTACCTTCAGCAATACCGCATTACAATATCGAATTGCAGCAAAGAACATCAATTTGATACAACATCGGTTTGTACTGGCACATAAAAGATTTTTCATTCATTGTATTACAAAATATTTATTCAGGTTGTTAGTTTCAATATTCAAACATTGAACTTTCTTAATGTGGCATTTATATTCGTTATAAATGACAAACTATTGCAAGTGAAAACACTATTTTGCGCTATTTACCTGCAAAATTGTATCATTTAATACGACCATAAATGCCACAATGAGAAAGTTCAATGTTATATACATTTTCTACCATTTTTTACTCATTTTCCGATCATATTTTGATTTAAACTAAAACGAACGATTCATTATGGACAGTTAAATATGTCAAATAGAACGGGTATTTAGACGGCGAACCGTCGTCGGTTCTAAACCCACAATATTGACGTTATAATGGTCACGCGCTGGATGTCATTTATTGTCTCATAAATCTTTTCGACACAGCAATGAAGCTATCTTCATTGGATAATATATATTAATTTATTTCAGGATTATGTTGAGGTTTCCAGAATTCAAGAGAGTAAAATTTATATGACCAGATCGAATGTAGATCTGGAACAGATACCTGGATATTGGAAAAATTCGAGGTAATTGAAGATGTGAGGATGACCACAGGTGCAGGGTGAGACAGGAGTATACAAGAGATGTAAAATATATGGCCTTGATTTCAAGTCACTAGCATTGTTTTTTGACCAGCAAAGGATTATACTCAATTTTCTGGAAATTCAATAATTTTAGGTGAATTTTCAATATATTGCGTGTTGTTCTTTATCTGAATAGGTTGGACTTTTAATGTGGAGTGACGTAAACGAGTTTGTTGTTGGATCCATAGAATCCATACTTTCATTTTATTTGAGGAAAAATTACAACAAACATTAGTTTTAGAACGAGGAATATTAAAAATACCTTGGCTATCGAAGATTATGATTTAAAACTTCATTATGATACAAGATTTAAACACATGTAGATATTTAAATAATATGGACCCCCAGTTTTGTATTGATGCTATCTAAATATTCATATTCAACTCAAATATCCAGTTTGACCTCTTTAAACTGTGCGGGAAACACCCTTAAAATACGGTATATACAAATATCGTAACGATTTAAAACGAGGCAGCACATTTGTCGATTCGGTATGAGGAAAACGTTTGCACATGAAGAGGCATGTTTCTTTGTCATGTTAATGTTGACTGAGGGAATTATCACCAAAACATGATAGATGAATGGATGAAAATATAATAAACATTTACGTTGAAAATGTTTGTAATAAAACAATAATCATATAGCTCATATTTGATGAAATTGAAATGTATAGTGTTTAACATTGTTCTCCCATACCATTTACTAACTCGAAATTTCGACTAACATTGTCGAAATTTTGAGTTATTGTCTTAAAATTTCAAATTAACATCTTAAAATTTCGGACTGCTATCTCGAAATTTCAACTTGTCTCACTATCATGAAATTTCGACATGCATTTTCGATATTTTGAGTTAAATAAAAACTAACGTTGCCGGAATATACTCCCGCATTAAAGAAAATTCAATGATGCACTAGAATTTGAATATATATTTAAAAATTCTTACAATTTCGTTTTAGAAATATAGGTATCTACCTGGGGATAAAAGTTTTCATTCTATCTTCGAAATTTTTTTTATCTGAGCCGAAGTTTACGAAACATAATCGAGATGTATTTCCTTCTTGTTTGCCCATTACACATAAAAAAAAAAAAAAAAAAAAAACTCCTGACAATTTTAGTTGGTATATCTCATCGGAGATTTTTCCAAAGACAACTTAGGTGATAGCACTATTTAATACATTTTTGGGGAAGATACAGTAGAGCCAAACAATAAATTATACTACGTCATACAGCTGTTTTCGAATAAAATTCATAGTATTAAACTTCAGGATATGAATCATGATTGTAACTTAAGAAGACGTAATACCCGTAGATTTTGAAATAAAAAGAAACCACTGCAAATAATCTTAACATTAAAACCCAACAAATAACCACTGTTTATCACTATAAATGAAAAACACCTTTCAAAGACTGCACAAAAACACACACGTGAATAAACGTTTTAATACAAATTTAGAGTTAGGTACAGTATCATATAATTATTTCGTCAATCTAGGACTCGCCAGTTATTCTGGGGGTCCTAAATTTTAAACGTATGAAGAAAAATCAAATGTGATTGAAAGTTCAATTCTAGATGGGGCACTAGCCTTATCATTCCGTAAATGTCACAAATTTCATATATTTGATAATTTTAAAAGAACGTCAAGAATATGTGTACATTCTAAACTGTGTCAATATTCGTATCGATTAAAACATATCGTGCAGGTTACGGCAAACCTCAGGGGCCAAGAGTCCGTCAATCAGCAGTGTTTACTACCTGTATTCTCGAATATTGTACAAAAGACACACAAATGAATACGACCATCTATGTTCTAGGTAGTAAAGTTACTAACAGTTAAAAATTATAGAAATAAACTAAAATTGTCTAAAATTCTCATTGCCGCTTCTTAACGCTATTACCCATCCTCCATGTTTCTGTATTATTAAACCGCTTACTCAATATTGCATTATAATGTGGTGTTTATGTTCATGCTGATTAGCCGAAAGGCTAACACGCTGTTCACGAGAATGTGTTACACAATTCAATTTAAAAAAAAGGTTTTCAGTTTTCAACATTACAAAGTTCTCTTAATTTGTGGTTTGAAAAAATCGAGTGTTTGATCAGTGCTTGGACATTCATGGATTGAGAGTGTCACTGAAATCGGAAATCAAGGAAAATAAATTCTCCACGAAAATTAATTTGTATGTGTATGGATTAAGATAGCTTTTTGAAAAATGAACCATGGGAATCACCATTATTCATGTAATAACTGGGATAGAAACCGCAAACACACATTTGATGAGAAATTAACTTTGTAAAGGGACCTATACACGGTTTATGACACGCTGAGTATTTAAACATTTCCCAGATCATCACCACAACTTACCCATCCTGCTTAATGGACCCCTTTCACGCCGTTTATTGTTTGCTAACGTCGATTTACTAGAACGCGGGCAATGGAATGTATATATTTTAGTCGGTAAACTCATATGTCTAAAATATAAAGCCCTGGGACAACTCATACTGACAACGCTTATGGCAAGGTCATGTTCTGTGTTGGGTGAGGTTTCTGACAAGTGCTAGCAACCTACAGCTTGAATATCAGAACTTCTGATATACACGTCGCATGTTTATTGAACACA